TAATATTCCAATGATGATATTTGATTTGATTATCTTAAAATCTGAAATGCATTTGAAATCATTTTTCTCTGACATATATGATGTTAAGAACTGATGTGCATTTGCAAGGTGTCTGTTAACATGTGCGATCAAAATGAATTAATACTGCTTAGAGTTTCGGGTCGAATGAAATGACTTATGGAAAAAATAGGGTTAAGAGGTCAGTTATTAGTTTCTGCGAATGCGATCAAATCACTAGATTCTAATTAAAATAAACAACTTTTTGTAATAATAATTTTGAATATGGTCACCATTTTGTTATCAAATAATCTCATATTATACAACCTATTGATTCCTAATGATTGTTTTTGATTGATAAAAAATATAATTTGCTGAAGTTTCGTTTTGATGATCATATATAAGAAATAATAAACCATTCTATATATACGAGGGACGGTCAGAAAATATCCGGACTTTTCATGCTCCTCTCTTTCCACGTGCAGCTATATACACACATTATATATTGGTGAACACTACATTCATTCGCCAATAACGTGGTCAGTTTATTTTCAATGATAGTTGTGTATACACAGTATTTTGCCCTCTGATATATGATAGGTGTTTCGTCTATCATGGACTCTTTGTAAGAGGAACAACGCTCTGTAATAAAGTTGCTGGTTGCAGAAGGTGAAAAGCCCTGCCACATCTTTCAGAGGCTTAAAAAAGATTTTCTGATAAATGTGTATCAACCTTTCAACCTTTTCAGAATAAATTATTTGACCTGACCTGTCTGACCTTAATCTAGTTGTCAGGGACTTCCTTCTGTGGAAAATATCATACTTTCAATTTTTCCAATTCCGTTTGGTTAATATATTCATTATTTTTGTTTTTTTTAGCTTCTTTGTTCTTTTTCATCAACATTGCACAAAAAGTCAGGGTGTTTATAACATGTCACAAAACTGATATTTATTTACCGTATACTGTTTCAATGCACTTTATTTTTTATCTGACAGCTATTATAACCAATGCGGTCTTATTATCTATCTATTATCGCATGGCTGTGAGCTTTTCCTTTGTTCTTTCTAACCCATTATACTCAGTACACTTCAATGAGCATTTCAAAACTGTATTGATATATAACAGTACAGTTTTTTCATTGATTCATATAGGAAAAAAACTCGACTGTTATATATCGGTCGAGTTTTTTTCGTACCTTGTATATATCAATACAGTTTTTTCATAGAGGCTCCAATGGGGCAGTGGTAACGACCATTCCCAGTAGCAAAAAAAACATAAAATAATAAAAAAATGAAATCAATAAAATCAAATAAATATATAAATACAATGAAAAATATAAACAAAGATAATTAATGAAATGAAAAAAGCCCTTTAATCTTAAATCAATCTTGGTAACAGTATACAATCCGCCTCTTATATTGGATGTCTTTTATATATTTTTTGCGGCAGCGGAAACAACTTGAAAAACTGCCTTATGATAAATAACTATAATGTAGCTAACGATTAATTTATTTATTTGTTTCTATACAAAAAAGAAAACATTATGCCATTGTGATAAAACAGTTATAGTATATGAAACTCGTTAGTTACGGGGGTATAACACTGGCTGGAGCGACATCTCGGGATGTTTCTGCAAAAAAAAATTGTCTCGGCCTGACGGCCTCGCCATTTTTTAGCAGAAACACCCCTTGATGTCGCCCCATCCAGTGATATACCCTCGTAACTAACTCGTTTCATATACTATAACTATTACTTATAGTAATTTATTTATTTATTGATACAGTATCACATGCGGTATTTTCCATGGTAGTAGGAAGCTCTTCGTGACCACACTCCTTTGTAAAAAATGAATGTTTACAATTTTAAATTGAGGATGCTAAAGTGAAGAGCATAAAATAAAAATAGTTTCATACAGATAGGCCAAAATAAATGAATAAATAACATAATGTTATCTAAGAATTTCTGGCCATTAAATCTTAGATATTTAACTCGAGGGAATTCACAAGGTTAAAAAAGTGTGCTTATCTTTACTATATCAACTGCATTGAAATAATTGAAGGCATGGATCTTAGCCCAAAGATTAATCATGATGGTTACAAATGGTTGTCGAAAAAAAAAATCATATTTTACTTGATGTTAGATAATTCGCGTAAAAAGCAACAAAAAAGCAATGTTAACGCACATTATCAATGTCTTGCTGAGTAGGATGACGCCCAGTGTGGCAGCGATCATAAATAGGGAAATAACTAAATTGCTTTTTAGTACTGTTTTATCTTCATTAAATGACTTTTTTTTAGATTTGGGTCCAATAGATTTGAGAAAAAACCTGTTTATTATCATTATTCTTATAAAAAAGAAGTAGACTTTGCAATGCTTACACAACTGTAGCCTTGAGCTCAAAGAACGCACCTGCCTGAGATACCTTCTAGGTTTCGATAATGTGTTTAAGTACACAAGACGCCCGAATATTTATAAAATAACTTAATTAAATCATTTTTATACGAGAAAATAAACTGATTAGAGGCTCAAATTAAGATTTATTTTGGTCATAATTAAGTTTTATTGCATTGGTCTATCTTACCCATTTGTTTGAATTGATATTAGGCTATTGAAAAGTACATTCAAATGGTCTGATATTTTCATAGACTATGAGGATTCGGACGCATAAATGCTTACGAATCTTTAAAAGAATTTTCTATTTCACATTTTGTCATTACATTTGGGCTGTTTGAATCATTTTGTAAAGACAGCAAGTAATAACACGTAAAGCGTTTAATATCCATGTTTTTAACATATTAGTATATATGATAGACGTGAAATGATTCAAATTAAGATAAGACGTTTACAAAAAATTATCAATTTATGTTTTGAAACTTTTTATTTTAACAAACATTTACAAAGCCCGACAGTTAACACTCGACTGTTTCTCTACCGTTCGACTAGTCGTCGAGTTTGCTGGATTCAAGAATCATCCAAAGTGAACTACAAGATAAGGTCGTCGTTTTGGTTTCTGCATTACTATCATGCATACAGTTTACAACTACAACTGATTATTTGAATAAGATTTTTGACTTCTTGCAAAATTTACAGGTAAGAACTGAATATAAGTAGAATTTTCATTTGTCATTTTAAAATTACAAACTGAAATCTGGGAATCTCATTGGCCATTCTAAAATAATTAAAATGATATAAAGGATCTGTTTGGAATGGTTTACGGGTCTAAATTTTAAATTAATCTGAAGGTGTCCGGAAACGAAACTTCTATTCAAGTATCTCAGACTTTTCTTTAGTTCTTTCAATTTCTAGTTTTTCCAGATATTTAAGTTCTGTTTAAGCAGGGTTCCTCCCACATATAATAATTTTACACACACATATATAATATTGCTTTTAAAATTTCATTATTGTGTTATAATTTTGTCGAAAATAAGGAGTCCGACAATAACGTTGACGAACCCGTATACTTATGTGCATGAAAATATCGGAAAGCACGCACACGCGCACGCACGCACGCACACACACACGCAAACCGAATCCATCAGTTATTTATTTAAAATAAGTGATTGGTAAAAGTGTAAAATTTTAATATTTATTTGCATACTCTTTTTAATATATGATTCAGAAATTTCCGATAGTCAACATATTTCAAAATTCAAAGCTAGATTATGGGGAACTGTACTTTTTGTTCGTAGTCGGAATGTCGCTTCTAAGTCGTAGACTGGAGATATTGCCCATACATTACATATTACATTACGTAAACTCATAGTACAAGTTGAACTAACCCTACTTAAGGTCCAGCATAACTTTTCGCAATCACAACTTTGAATTTGCACAAGTAATTACAGTAAACAGCGTAATGACGTCATTCTATGTATGCCACGCTTTTTTCATTAAGGCACCAGAATATCGTCATTTTAAATTAACATGGGTTGGTTTAAAAGAATTACTAACCGATTGTCGGTGTAAACACAATACAATCCAGTCTGATATGTATGTTAAAGTTGATGAAAAATGAACTATTATTTTGTTTTTTGGTGATAGGATGAAACATTTGTTTTTAAAAGTTTTATGTCTTTTGTTTAATTTCTTTTTATTCCTTAGCGACAGTAAAGGGCGAAAGTCGGATGCGGAACTTAGCTCTGCTTGATAAAATAGCGTCTGCGATCTCCCTTATTTTGCGTTGATTGATCTGTTGAACAAATGAGTTTTCACTAAATGATTTAAAAAAAATCGAAATAAATACTTGCTTTTTGCGTACTTGTTTTAAACATTGTTTAATGTAAAGAACGTTCCTTAGCGACAGTAAAGGGCGAAAGTCGGATGCGGAACTTAGCTCTGCTTGATAAAATAGCGTCTGCGATCTCCCTTATTTTGCGTTGATTGATCTGTTGAACAAATGAGTTTTCACTAAATGATTTAAAAAAAATCGAAATAAATACTTGCTTTTTGCGTACTTGTTTTAAACATTGTTTAATGTAAAGAACGTTCTTCACCTCTTAAACGGTAGAGCGTTTATAATTTTTTTCACATGATTTAGACGTTATGAATTTTAAAATAACTTTGACACTGAATTACATGAAGTATGTTCTTTTCTTTAAAAGTTAACCATTAACTCATCCACAAACTCATGGCTATTTATATTTACAAAATGTAAGTTAAGATTGACCTATATAACAAGGAAGTAATCGATACATAAGTAGTGCAGGATGTTTATGTATATTGTAAAGGTCTAACTGCAGATTTTAAACCATGTTCAACCTAAATCAGCGAAATGCTAAAACAATATATTATTTATTGAATACACAAAGAAGCAAACTTTTGTTGACGGTGGAATGAATCATGAAAGATTTCCAAATTATAATAAACAGATTATTACTCAAATCAGCAAGGTTCGGACAATAAAGCAATTGATAGGCTAATCTTTAGATGTTTATTTAATTTAAGGTAGTTAACTTATTCAAATTAATACTTTAAATACACATGTGATATAATATTTAAACTTCCTAGTCACATTTAAGCAGTAAAGTTAAACGGAAGGTGAAATGAATATCAGTATTTTTGTTATATTAGCTGTGATTATAGCAGGTTTGTCTTTTGTTTTATTGTGTTATTTGATGATATTTTCGATAACATAGAATACAGTTAAAAGTGTACATACTATTTCTAACAAGTGAAAGTGAAAAGTATTGTACTATTGTTGCAAAACATATATAAATGAAACCAATAGAATCATTATAAAATATTTGAATTAAATTGATGTGCATATTGATATTTGAAAAATGCAATACCTTGGTTAAGGATTCAGTAAATAATAAAATATACAACTAATATATAAAATATAATGTATAATAAAGTTACCTTTATCAATTTACTACTCGTACCTGAAAACGAAGCCAGTCTGAAACGCCTTTGTTAATGCAAAACAATTATTGGACGCAGCAAGGTCCACAATAAAAGAAAACTTTCATAATCTTCCACACGTCTTTTAAAAGTTAAAATAAGCAAATTTTGCACGTACTCTACACTTCATGCAAAATATTCCGTCAAAACGACAACATCGTCATTAATCTGACCTCAACCCTTCTCCTCATTCTACCAGAAAGGCGTCTAATGCGAGGTTAATTTTCCATTCTTGGTGCAGAGCTTGTTCCAGTTGTTGCACGTTGACTACAGGTGATTTGTACCATTTCTCAAATGAAATAAAATTTCAGGGGTGGTCATGTCCAATTTGGGGCAAAATGCCGGGTGTGAGAAGAAGGGTTGAGGCTATCATCCGGGCACGTGGTGGTTACACATGTTATAAACATTTTGGCTGTATAATATAATTCCGCAACATTTTCCAAACATATCAACAAGTAAACGCTCCAGCACCATACTTATAAACACTAACATTTTTGGTACAAAAACAACACATTTGCTTACAGTATGCTTCAATAATTTGATCAAGAATAAACTAAACTTATAAATTTACTAGTTTATGATAACTTAATTGGTATTGCTACTTATCAAATTACTATTTCTTAGCTCAATTAAGTCGTCATCTCATGGCAGTGTATTCAATCACAACGTATGTTAATTTTCCGGGGTGTGCTTAACTTATTTCCAGGTGTACATATGTTAGATTCAATTTTTCATTTTTTGTCAGAATCCTTTAAATATTTGATGTGTTCAATAATAGGTTATCTTTTGTAAAAATAAAGTGTATTAAAATGAATTGATAAATTACATACATGTATAACTGAATTTAGGAAATTATTTTTTGTATATAACTTTAACTTTTATTGTTTCAGTCAAAGCATGGCCATGTGTATCACCAATCAGAAAAGTATTCAGTCGTGTCAACACCGATGCTGTTCTTCAATTCACTGCTGACCTTACAAATCTGAAATCACCAAGAATGTTTGAGGTTAGCTTTTTTGACGGTAGGGCTAAGGCTAGAATAACATACATTTCAGACAGAAGTTTCATAACTGATGTATTACCAGGTCTTAACATAACTGGTGATACAGATGGTAATGTAGTTGTTACACTACCTTATATCCAACAAAATGATACAGGCGTTTATATATTGACAACTGCAGGAATTCCTTCAAAATGCAACTGTTTATACATGTTAGGTAAGTACATGATAACAGGTATTTTTGAAATACATTTTTTTCTACAGTTAAAAAACTCAACACGAAAACAAACATGAAATATATACATCAACGTCAGATAATACGAAATGTGACAGAATTGGATGTAATTTAGACAAAAAACTTTTTACTTTTCAAATGTGTATGGAAGTGCAGTTAGCAGATTTTCTTTCATAATATAGAAATACAATTTCTCTATATTGTCTCTGATAAATGCGAACATCCGTTTTGAATAAACTAAATACAGAACTTATTAATTAAAAGCCAAGTTCGTAACAGATAGACGATACGAGATAATAATCAGCCTATGAGCGATTTCCTGACACAGTTGCCAGAAGGTGTACTATTATGTATAAAAGTAGGTATGTACTCAAAGATAATACACACATTCTTCTGCAAGTCATCATTTATGGTGACGGAAAGACGTATTTTCAATTCACAAACATTTTAAGACACCAGGCAATCCGGACAAAGTCTTTCAGCTTATGAACATTTTAGTTCACAACTAGAAACTTCAAATGCGTGTATATCAGAAAAGATCCCGGCTTCGCTGAGATACGTAATCGCGAGCACCCGCCCGTTTAAAAGCAAAAAACAAAAAAAACAACAACGCTTTAGACCTCAGAGCCAAAGAATAGAATCTCAGATACAGTTGTCAGAGGTTGTAATAATAGTTTTGAAAAACTGTTTTATTAAAACTATATGAATTGCAGGTATCCCCAGGAAGCCAACAGTGACAGTGAATAAAACGCCATCTGTAGGAGAAAGTGCAATATTAACATGTAGTAGCACATCAACTACCACACCCAGCAACCACAGCCTCAGTCTGAAATACTCATGGAGAGTAAACAACATAGATAACCCGACTGGTACGAAATACTCATATACGACTAGTAAGGATAAACTAACTGTATCAAACATTTTGAAGGAGGATGCAAATAAACAGTTAACATGTTCAGCTACAGAAGATGTCACTGATGGATACACATCAAGCAGCAGTGAAATATTCTCATTTGACGTGAAGTGTAAGTTAATTTTCTCACTAATTTGTCAATCAAACCGAACCTGCAACATTTTCAATTTTGCCGTGTAGGGCTTTTGTTAGAGATTTCGTTTTCTCTATTTTAAACATCTAAGAATAGAACCGTCATTATATTTGCGAATAAGTATCTGGACTTCATTTAGTCTGTACATGAGGAATAATGATAAAGTAGCACCAAATTGAGCGGTACTCAATTCTCAACACTTAAAAGTGCTGCACTCAAGTATGTCGAAAGACCAGAAAAAATATATATCAACACTAAAGTGAAGTACGGGGCAACTTTTTATGGCCGCCACACATCACTTGACACCTGTTGCTGTTGTGATGTATAAATATCTGGACAAAAGATTAATGGCTTTTTTAAAACAAAAATGATGTTTTTATATTTCCATAAATTGTTCAACCTTTTTACATACTTGTATATGAAATATTTATTAAGACTTACAATAACTAAATGGTCTTTCCTTTAATATTTCATAAAATCAGATGGTCCAGATTTGGTCAGTGTCAACGTAACATCACCATATGTTTTAACTGAAGGAGAGATAATGTCAATAGAATGTACAGCGGACTGTTATCCTGGGTGTACCTATACATGGATTAATGTTACAAGTGGTAAAGTAATCAATTCTAACGATGATACATTATATATCGAATCAGTCGACAAGTATATGATAGGAGATTACCAATGCAAAGCTAAAAACACCGACTCCTCGTATTCCAAATCTGCTGATGTTATTGTCAGTGTCAATATAAAAGGTACGAGTAATATTCTGAGTTACTTTACTCTTTCATTTGGATAATAATCAATGTTTTTAATTATTATTTTTTTTTAAAGAATTGCCTTGTGCAAGACAATATCTTGTCTTATTATATTTCTAAACTTGCTTTGTTAAATTTAAATGCTAAAATCAAGAGAATAATAATACTTCCAACAACTAGATTACAAATGAGTAGTAAAAATCTATTTCTTCCAGAACGAACACTGGTGAAGTTGTTTTATGTTGGCAACAACGTTAGTCAGTCAATGATGATCGTCAAGGAGCATACTGTTGATATCAGATTAACATGTGAAGTCAGTGGGGACCCTGCTTTGAATGTTACAATTATGTTTAATGACAAAATTTTAAAAGAACAAGACAATACAAATTCTTTGACATATATCATCAAGACAGCGTCTTGCTTTGATAGCGGCGAATATAAATGTGAAGCAAGAAATCAGAAACAAGAAATCTCACACAGATACGTATCACTGTTTGTCAGATGTAAATATTTCTCTTACTAATTAATGAGTAAAGGATAAACTTATTTAATACATTGTAATGGTAGGAAAATAAATGTAAAGATGTAATGATTTTAAAATGCTTACCTTTATTCAGTAAAATATGTGGTAAGATAATGTATCTGAAAGATCAACAGCTGCACTTGAACATAAGTTTGTGTAATTTTTTTATGGTTTAACTCAACACATAAACTCAAAGCAAAATTATATAAAAAAAGGAAACACATTTAATAACTTACAGTAAATTTACAACAAAAATGTTTTAACGAAATAGGAATTTTTAAAACACTTGTCATAATAGTTTCAATTTTGCCGGTTTTGGTGTTCGTTAGGGATTATTTTTTCCCTCTATTTAAGAATATTTTGTAATAAAATTAGCTACAATTATATTTTATTATCCTATGTTTGTTTTAAAGGTTCACCACGCTCACTTCGGAAAACCCAAGAGAATATCACAAGTTTACTAGGTACACCTGTTACATTGACATTCGTAGCGCTAGCATATCCTGAGCCAGGTCCGAATGGATTTACTTGGTTCAAAGAGATAGGATCAAGGTGGACTCAAGTTTTAAGCAATGAAGACTATAAAATTTCTTCGTCCGGTTTAGAAAGCAATCTTACAATTTTAAGCGTTTCCAAAGCTGATTTTGGGCAATACCGTGTGTCTGTTGAGAACAGCATTGGTTCTTATAACCAATATATTTTCCTTGTAAGACAAGGTAAGTGTTTGAAATAGTGTATGAATTAATAAGTTTTATACATACATTTGTTTTGTATAACATTATTTGATATTTGTTATATTTAGAAAAGTTTTGTTAGAAATATGTTTAATATTCTATGTTATATTTTGGTTTTTATATCAGACAAATATTGTAGTATTCCTTTTATACATTGGTTCCTCAGAAATGTCACTCATGTATCAATATCACAAACATGATTCGTTTATATTTTTTTTCAAATTTATTAAACGGCTGTAAACAATGAATGTTATCTTTTATCCAAAGTTGAATAATCGTTTTGTTTTTAACTTTTAAGATTTACATAATATTAGTTCGGGAGTCAGCCAAGAAGAATGTGATTGTGGTAGTATAGTGGCGATTGCTATAGTCTGTGGAGTCCTCACTGTTATTGTAACAACTTATGCTGTATCAATTACAATTTTATGGAAACGAAATGTCTCAATCAATAAGAAAAGAAGAACAACAGTTACTAAGAAAGGTGCGCATGTTCATAATCTTTTACATTACACATTAATAGTAACATGCTTGGAAGGAATATTTTATGCATTATAATATATTTACAATGATTACATTTTTATTATCCTTTTCTTGTACAGTGTAAGATTATATAAAATGGTATGATTATCTTGTGTTTCAGACAAAGACAGTGTGGTCGGCTCAACTCAACAACAGTACGTATACACGTTATATGGATGTAATGTATCGATATCCTTATAAATAAACAATCGCATTACTTCTAGAAAAAACACTTCCTTAATTTAAATCGTAAATGATAAAATTCTGTATTTCGTAATAATGTCCACCTCTTGACAAATATTTGATTACAATGTATACAGAACTGACATCAATGAATGTAATGCTTTAATTTCAATTTTAATAATACTGTACGTTTGTAACGTCGTTTTTCATAGGATAATATTATCAATATAAATGACAGCAGTCGATATATAAAGTAATTTTAATTTGTTCTCTAATAAAGAATGTTTGCGTATTATAAAACGTTATAAAGATTCTTCACATGTTATATTGCCTATATAAACGGTTATTTGTAATATAATTCAAGTCGTTATATACTAGTATTCAAACAACCGTTTATATTGGGGCATATAACATGTTAAAATTCTTTATAATTAATGATTGAATCTAGCATTGACGTTAAAGTAACTCAGAACCTTTAAGGTACGTTTATGGCATATGTATGGAATAATTGATGGGAAAAGTATTTAAAAGCATATTTTACTTTCTTTCTCTAGACACTATGACAGTGTGGCGTATACAACAAACGACCAGGACATACAAGGACATGTTTTGGGTACAGACGACTCAAGCAAGACACAATATACAGATCTGGATGACTTTTCTCGTGAAAAGAGAGACAATTTGTATGACGCAATTAAAAAAGATTAAAATACAAACAAGATGAATGTTTCATTTTCTCATGCATAAATAGAGATGATGTTTAAATGACACTCTGATTCTTTTGGAATGAGACAGCTATTTATATTGTTGTTTTAAGATGTGAACAAACTGGAAATTAAATTTGTTTTAGGAAATCTTAGGGTACAATTCGATACCTCATATATGTAATCATTTGTATTTGATTATCATTTGCTAAAACCATTCACTGGTAATGACCATCCTTGACACGTAATCTTATAACTATAGGCTAAAGCGTTTATTTATTGTAATTTGCCGAAAAATCTTAAAGTGGTAAAGACCATATAATCTTATGACCATACCACAAGTATTATAATTTGAAAATCTGTTTAGATTATATTTTATAATTCAATACTCAGTTTGATAAAATTCCTTAAGCAACTGAGAACATTATCAAGCAAACGTCTAGCTGACATTTGTTTATGTACAATGTATACAGAACTATGAAATAAGTAATTAGTAAAGGATGGATTGGGGCGTCCGTGGCCGAGTGGTTAAGGTCTTTGACTTAAAACCACTTGCCCCTCTCCGCTGTGGGCTCGAATCCCGACAGGGAATTTAGATTCTTTCATGTGAGGAAGATATCCAGCTAGCTTACGGAACGTCGGTGGTTCTACTCAGGTTCACTATCATGCCTGAAAAAACGCAAGGAAGGGATCCTGAGGTTTTCCTCCACCAGTAAAGCTGGAACGTCGTCAAATGACCTAGACTGTGTCGGTGTGACGTAAAACGCAATCAAACAAACAAAATGTTGGTTTTCCACGACCAAGTATCTTTCTTAAAGATGCTTCTTGTTAGCAGTTTATGGCAACCTTTGTTTGCTTTAATTTCGAAGGACCACAGGTGTGTTCATATTAATCTTGTAGTAAAACAGTCTTTATCGCAACATTACCTTTTTAATTTCATTAGCTATATAGATTGATATATATTACATGTTGTTGAATCACTGTGCCCCTGTTAAAGTTACTTTTCTTTCTCAATTATGGCACTGGATTTTGATGTATACATGTATATCTCGTTTGAATGATCGTTTATCTTATTTAGTCCTAGAATCTCATTACAAACATGTATGCGACACTGTAGGTGAAATGTATTATTCTCATTTCTTATACATCACTTTCAGATACAGAGTGGTTTATACTTGAAATGGCCATATTAAACATATGATAAAACATATTTTTCATGTTATAATATAACGAATTTTTAGATATCACTCGATACTCAAATAAATTAAAGATTTGTTTTCAAAATATATAGGTTTTGAACGCCGCCATTCCTTGCTGATCTTGTTTATCATATTACATCAGTTCATCAATGTTTGGGTGATCAACAAACATTATTGAACATAGCAATTTTGAAGAGAGTGACAACATTATTGGTTTTAGGTCATTGAGCTTAGCATAAACTACTCATCTACAAATCATTTTGGTATGCGTTCAAATAAGGTTATCTTACATGATATCTCACTATGTGTCAGACCTTTATGTACTTTTGTCATTAGGAGCTTTTGTACAAAATTGCAATCAAAAATCAAAGTTTGCACTTGAGAAATAATGAATAGTGTAGATGTAGTAAATTATCCTTGTAAACATTCTTTTCTATTCTTAGACTAAAAGTGCAAGAGAAACTCAATTGATTTTTTATGACTTTGTTTACGACTGTTTTCCTTTGTCCTTTACCTACCTAAATGTCTTCGAATCAATTTGATTGATGCAAAATTAGTACAAAAAAGATTGTCGTATTTGTATTTGTGTAGTTTTCTGTTGAGGAGTATTTTAATTGATGTTAAAAATGGAAATTGAAAATGTTGTTGATCCTGAGCATATGAATTATTAAGATTTTTATCTAGGATGTTTATCACATTTTGTAACAACAACGAGCCTTATTAGATGCTTTGAAATACATGTATGTCATTGTTATGTTATAACAGGTATTTTAAAATAATATATTACAAAATATCTTGTTAATTGTAAAACGTCTAATCGAAACATTCGATATAGTTACGCTTATTCAGATTTTACTGATTTCACATGTGATTTTCGGAGTTGATCATAAATCGAAAAGAATTGTTTAACAACTATTAGATGTTTTTAAAGAGATATTACATTTGACAACAAAAAGTAGGAGATTATTTAAAATGATAAAAACTGTACAAATAATGTTACATTTAAAACAAAATAAAAAAGATATATATGTAGCTACAATTTTGCTGAATAAAAAATAAATTTAATAATAAGACACATAGTACAAGGTGAATTGTAATAAAACCTATCCATCTATCTTAGATGTCCGCCTAATCCAATAAGGAGAGCATCGGATTTGTACTCAAGGGGTCGCTTGGTCAATGCTTTGGTGAGTTTAATGGTCATTACCTCTCACCAATCATTCAGGAGTCATATGTGATTATTAGCCGGTCACATACAATGAAATTTATGGTAATTATTGATTAGTTATCAAGAAAAATTGGTTACATGGACCGATCGCCTAGATATGATAAAATGTGTAACAATCGGCGTTAAAACTAAATGAAGAAACAAGTATCTTAGATGTCATAAAATCCTAGCATGATAAACATAATTTTCGTCGGTTCTAAAAATACAAGCATTACAGTCCATTAAAAGATTAACGCAGGTAAACATAGGAAAACTTGAAGTGATTAACCAAATAATTACTAATGAATTTATACACATTATATTTTACGAGATGTTTTCTTCGTTTGACTCTATAACTCGATACATAAAACCTTTTCAGCTAGTGGGTTCGAAACCTGGTTTTAACTCTTTCATTTTTTTTGTAATATTTACTGCTGAGATTAAAATAAATATATGATTACGCATATGAACTTAAAGATATTGTATTTCTGTCTCTCCTAAAATTTTAAAATATTTATACATTAATGATAAGAAAAAAAAGGAAAATATATAGGGGGATAAATGAGATTAAGATACTTTAGATAAAAAGTTCAATGACAGATAATCGATTAAAATAATAAACGCATTTTGATAATGTAGGTTCGTATATAAATAATACTGGAGTACCCCTCAGCTTTCTTGAAGCCCATTAGCCTTTTGCCATGAAGAAGGTTCTTTCAGAGGTTAGTGCTCTACCGATTAAGCTATTGCGCCATTTCATCCTCACTTTTACAATTATCTGTTAAAAGCACAATCAGGACGTGCAACAATGCATTTACCTATATAGTATTAAAATGGACTGTTCCGTACTATAAATAAATATGAAGACATTTCTGTTGATCGTGATCGGATTATAGTGTCATAAAGAATGTTAATTTGATTTATTTTTTCAAAATATAATCACAATATTCAGCTATTTTGCTGGCTATTCCAACCCTTTACATGACCACCTTAATATTTAATAACAATTATTGTAAAACCTTGAGAAACAAAATAAATATCAGTTTCCAGAACAAATACACTTGCATACAATATATTATTATGGCAGCATGTTTTTACTGTTTTTGAAAAGCTATATTAAGTGGAATCCAATCTGTCTCAGCAGAATTAAAGGAGACGATACATATAGGAACCAATTAAGGTAAACGTGCTTAAAAGAATAAATATAATGAAAGGTTAAAAAGAGTTAAGAATCAAGAACAATTTTTCCTTCTCAACGCGAAAATATTTTAAGTATTGTAGTGTGAACATGCCCGGGGAACCTTAAAAAATGCGTCACTTGCAGTGTTACCAATTTGATTTATCTTTAAGATCACAAACAAGTTTGAATTAATACAAAATTAAACATACCTTATTTTAAGAATATGCCTTAGGAGCACTTAATATGTTTAAGCATAAATTACGGCCTTGAGATGAAATGTTTTATTGTTCTTAGTGATGCTAGTGTAGAAACACATATGCTTTTAAACTAGGTAACGGTGTCTTAATGTATTAAAATGCAACACATTACTACCTATGTAAATTGGTTAATGACAATAAGTATAAGCAGTTAGAATGTTGTAATTCGAACACGTGTTATGAAATAATTTATGAAAGGAAATCCTGAATAAGTTTACCAGGGGCGTCCGTGGCCGAGTGGTTAAGGTCGTTGACTTCAAACCACTTGCCCCTCTGGGCCTCATCGCTTTGGGTTCGAATCCCGACAGGGACTTTTGATTCTTTCATGTGAGGAAGCTATCCAGCTTGCTAACGGAACTTCAGTGTTTCTACTCAGGTGCCCGTTCGTGCCGGAAATAATGCACGAAATGGCACCTGATGTCTTCTCCACAAGTAAAGCTTGAATGTCGCCATATGACCTATATTGTATCGATGTGACGTCAAACCTTAACAAACAAACAAACAAACAATTCAAGCAAAGAAATAATAAGTTTACCAGTGGTATAATGTCTCTATATATTCCAATGATTATATTTGAATTGATTATCTTAAAATCCGAATTGCATAGGGTTTAAAAATTTTTTCCTCTGACATATATGATTAAAAATGTTAAGAACCAATGTGCATTTGCAAGGTGTCTGTAAACATGTGCGATCAATTTGAATAAATACTTCTCCGGGTCGTATTAATTCACTTTTCGAAACAAATAAGGTTATTAGTTTCCGCGAATACGATCAAATCACTAAATTCTACTAAAAATATAAAACTTTTTTGAAATAATAATTTTAAATATGTTCACCATTTCTTTATCATATAATCTCATATTAAAAGTTGGATATTGTACGCTGCAACTTCACTGTTAAGAAGCATTTATGTAAAACAAAGAATGATACTATAAAAATAAAATGCAAACATAACAAATAAAACAATAACAAAACAATAAAAACGAATAAATAGTAGTTTTCTTTTTTGCATTGTATAGTTATGTATTCACATTTTGATGCGTTTATAAAATAAAAGGTTAAATGCACACTTCCGGTGATTATATATATAAACAAACATGCAGTTAGTGGTCTTAATTTAAGTTTTTCTTGCAAAGACGTCTGCTGAATGTTACTTTACCCTCTCTGAATATCTGAAATTATTCACAAGATAACGGTATATTGCATTATGAATGAAACCACTGTGAAGATTTTTAAAAGGTTTCTCATAATCAAATATATAGTAATTGGTGAATCATTTTTCAGGATAAATTATTTTCTAAAGAATGACCACATCTCTCTTTCTGACCTAAATTTTGTTGTCATGGACTTCCCACTTTATAAAAACAACATTTTTTTCAATTTTCCCATTTCCGTTGGATAAATATATTCGGCATGCCATTTATTTGTTATTAGCTTCAAAAAGACCCTGATATACCAAAGAATGTTTAGACATTATTCATTATTCAGATCTATATTTGACTAAATAAAGTAAAACATACCAAAACATTTTATATCTATTCATCTTTGTTGGGTGATCAACAAACATTACTGAACATAGCAACTTGTTTGATTTTTGTTGTCACCCAAAGAAAGTAACGACAGTGTTTCTTTAACGTCAATGTGCTAAGAATAAACTACTCAACATCTCATCATTTGGGTAGGCGTTCGAATAATTTTATCTTACAAGATATGGGTTGGTGTAAGACCCTTTGGGTACTGGTTTGTCATCAAGAGCAGACGTTATAATATTTTAATGCAAAGTTTACACATAAAAAAATGAATAGTACAGATGCAGTAAAAGTACTCTTGTGCACATTCCTTAAAAGTGCTAGAGAAAGTATTTTGTTTTTTTATGATTTTGTTTACGACTGTTTTCCTTTGTCCTTTACCTACCTAATTTGATTTTGTTAAATAATCTTAAAGCTTGTTGATTCAACTACTAGACATTAGTTATCTTATCAACCATTCATAAAAAAATGTGTGGTTTTATGAAACCAATCATTTCCATGGTACGTGAAAAGTTAAAAAAAAGTCCACGAATAAATTTGATTGACGCAAAATTAGTACAAAGTAAAATAATTTAGTGTTTGTGTGGGAGTGTAATGAACTTTTTGCTTTCTCTTGAGATAATTTCTTAATTGACGTTTAAATGGAAATTGAAAATGTCGTTGACCCTGAGCATATGAATTATTAAGATTTTTTCAGTCTTGGATGTTTATTACATTTTGTAACAACAACGTGCCTAATAAGATGCTTTGAAATACATGTACATGTATGTCATTGTAAAGTTAAAACAGGTATTTTAAAATAATATGTTACAAAAAATCTTGTTCAAAATATAGAAAAAAATTGTAAAACGTTCAATCGAAATCTTCAATTTAGCTACACTCATTCAAATTTTACTGATTTTCACTTGTAGAGAGTTGGTCATAAATCGAAAAATGTACTTTTAAAGATTTTAATAAAATGTTACATTTTTACAGACTATGAAGAACTGTCTAATTACATGTGAAGAAATGTTACAAGTAATGTTACAAAATATTTTATGAAAAAAATAAAAAATAGAACCAACTGTGTTCGATAAACTCCTCCTTCTCAATTGATGTCGGACATTGAGTATAATGGTCATAACTTCTCACCAATATGTGATTATTAGCCGGTCAAGCACAAGTAAATTTACAGGTTATTTGTCCAGGAAGGTCGGTGGC